GCCTGATGCATACAGGACATCTGGACACATACAAGAAGAAATGTCTGGTGTTTTTGCTGAAGGCCAATTTCAGATGTAGATCTACGGAGACTTGTCCCGGAGTCACTGAGACATGCATTCACCAAACAGTATCAAAGATTCAAGAGAACTGCCGGTTGTCATCCGTCTTTCATAATAAAAATGAGAACTGTGTTATATCGAGTGCGCCAAGAATTGTCATGTTCCCTCTTGACAAGAGGTAATCAATATCGAATTGTTTTTACACAAAAAGTGACTATTCGATTTAATCTGACTGAACAAGTCCACAAAGGGACAGACAGGACACGTGCATTGACGCATTGACATCAAGTATATTGTCATGCCGGCTTTTTCAATTTTGAATTTCAAAGTATTTCCTCCCTACTTCGGCGATCAATTTATTCCTGTCGGCTTCGAAAGTAAAAACTATATTGCTAAAGAAAGGAATGATGTATAAACAGTGCCGGAGTAAAGGGTATTATTAGAAAAAGGATCCGGAATGGTCTTAATTGAAAATTGAATACCGCCTTCATGGAAAACAATCACATAAATTATAAGTTAAGTATTGAACCATACGAACGACGGGCTTTTAAGGTCCCTAAAACACCCAAACCGAGAGATTTTATACTAGATATTCTCGCCACTCGTGATCAACTTATAATGGGCGTTATCTTTTTCCTCTTTATTGTTAACTTTTGCTCACTGTGAGTCAAAATAAATTATACATACACCAGATTCAATCACGATTTTTAATTTGTCATACAACTCCCTCTCCCCAGGCAACTAAAATAGCTTTTTATTGAATCATAAAAGGCAGCATATGTATTTTGTGGCTGTCTTTACTGTAATTAAATTACCAATTCAGGAGTTTAATTATAGTACTGCCACTTTCAGAGTCAGATATCTTTCAGCTACGAAATCATAAAAAAATTAGAACTCTTCGAAAGGGCTTGGACTGAATTTTGTGGCGGATACAGGTTAGTTTCTTCTCTATCTCTCAGAGCAAATCGTGCGAAAGATCCCATGACTTGTCATTACTTTTTAAATAAAAAGGCAATAAAGAAAATGTTGCTTATAATTCATTTCCTTTATACTTAATTTTTTTCTGTTACAGAGAAAATTCTCCAAAATCAAAAACGAAAATGAACCAGTCTGCCAAGAACGCAACAATTACTTTGCCTGTGGCTTCACAAGACTCTCTTCTTCCGTGGTTCATCACATTTGGAGTGGAAGCGTTCGTTATATTTGTTGGAAACCTGGTAACAATTTTAGCATTTGGCACAAAAAAGTCTGCTAAAAAGGGCAAATTTTTACTTCTCATTAATCTCGCAATCGCGGATCTGTTGGTGGGAACTATCCCCTTGCCACTGTATTTAGTTTATCTAGGAGGGGAATTGGCATACTGGAAGATTCGTTGGGTGCAATGGCTGGATATAACCCTCTTTGGTGTAGATGTTTTGCTGGGATTTGCATCTATTATGACATTAACAGTGATATCTCTTGAACGTATGTATGCTGCAGTGGTTCCTGTGGGCTACCGCAGTCTTAATCCACGACATTATTGGTTTTCCATCGCTATTATCTGGTTTGTAGCTGCCTCCACTGCGGCGGCCTGTTTGGCAAGCAATTATGTGCTTAAATCACTGAAGATTGCGACATATGTCTCCATGACATTACTGAGCGTGCTTTGTGTTGTGATCAGTGTATCATACATTACCATATGGCAGAGAATTAAATCTAAAAGAAGGAACATGCGAAAGAAAACAAATGAGTATGAAAACAAACTCGCATTAACATTGTTTATAGTAACAGTTACGTCTCTGGCTGCTTGGCTTCCATTTGTAGTTGTTAACGTTCTGTATGTATTTTCTGTCGTCAAAATGAGCTTCAGTTTTGTCTACTTCACCAAGGTCCTTCACTATGGCAACTCGTTTGTTAATCCAATCGTGTACACCTTAAGAATACCAGAGTTTCGCCAATCTGTTATCAAGATGTTCAGTGCTCGCGTGAGTCACAGAAAACTTCCTTCTTTTCACCAACCTTCTAATCTTGACACAGTCACTGAAACAGGACCTGGTACTTCCCAATCAAATAAAAGTAATAGGACGGGAGCTACCTTTAAAAACACTAAGGTCATGTGGAAAAAATCCGCTGAATATCGCGAAATCTCTGTTCTGCTTTCAGAAGGCAATGGAAACTCCATAACTGACCAGTGCGTTCATGATTAACAACGTTTCATAAGAGCGCACAAGCTTCTTGGTCAGCGAATGGTATTCGAAATTCAAAGAGTACGCTCGCCAAGGATGGCATACCCAGAGTTCTCTCCGTCAACAAGCGCACGCTGGGAAGGAGTCTTGGGAAAAGCTTCAAAAGTATAAATTTCTTCTTTTTGTATTATTTGTAACATTGCTGTATAGTTCGAGTAAATTTTTAGCAAGTATGATTCCGGTGGGGTGTGATTCCATCCCACATTACCGCTGACCGCTAATCTTCAATATGAACCAATAAAAACTTTTACTTGGTCCTAGAGCTGGAGGATAAAACAAAAGGTGAAATGTGTTATTCATCCCTGAAAGTCAAGCCTCGACTGATTGGTCTATTTAGTGCGCGACTCTTTTGGCTCAGCATTTAAAGGGGCTCAGGTGCTTTCACGGCTGCTGTCTACTTCATTTTGACTTATACGTGTCCTTATGCCCTATGGAATTTAACGCCAGCAAAGAAACTACTTGTAAATGGCAAAATTACAGCTTCTTCTCCAACAAATATACCGGAGTCTAAGCGTTATATCAAACGTTACAAACAATGAGCTGAGTTATATCAAATGTTAAGCTGTTAATTAACCCCCAATTCCAATTCGTTTTAATCTCCTTCAAGTTTATTCATCTGTGCCTTCTTTTGTGCTTAATAATAATAATGTTAAAAATAATATAGGTTCTTATTAAGCGCACTTCTGTCCCAAATGCGCTTTACATTACGATAAGAAAAAGAGAGAGAAAAGGAAAATCTTTAGCCTATGTGATATATTATAGATCAAGTATAGTAAACTTTAAAATACTAAAACAAAAAATGTTAAGTATAAAAATCAATGGAAATATTTACTGAATAAAAATGTTTAAGTTTTGTTTTAAATGTAGCAACACTGTCTGCATTTTTGACATCTTCTGGGAAAGTGTTCCATAACTGAGGGGCGGCAGTAGAAACGCGCGTCCTCCATATTTTTTGGATTTTATGACTGAGGTGCATAATAGCGAACTGGCTGACGACCGTAGTGCTCTTAATGGATGATATTCCTTAATCAGAGGTTCCAGGTATCCAGCAGATTGTCTATTCAAGATATAAATTAATATGTGATAAGAAGAATCTTAACGTTAATCCTTACTTTCACAGGTAGCCAATGCAGGCTCTTTAATATAGGTGTTATGTGGTCAGAACTGCGGGCTCCTGTTATCATTCGAGCTGCGGTATTCTGAATTCTTCGTAACTTATCTCTCTGGCATTTTGGGACGTCGTATAAGAGATTATTGTAATAGTCGAGTCTGGAAATCACAAGGGAGTTCACCAACATTTTCAATCCATCGAAAGGAAGGTACTTTCGAATACGACCAATTAATCTTTTGGCATAACTAGCTTTCTTGCACATATCGTTTATATGTTCACTGAAAGACAAGGTTTTATCCATGATGACACCCAAATTCGTGGCTTTCGTTTTCACTTCTACTGGGGTGTTAGCTAACGATAATGTTTCGTAAACTGTAAGTTACTTGTTGAAACGCGTCGTGAAATGTAATATTTCAGTTATTCCAGAGTTGCACTCATATTCTTAGTGTTCCATGTAAAAACATCATTGATTTATCCCCTTAAAACACCGACTGAGTCAATGGAGTGTTTAGGATCGTCGATGACGATGTAAATTTGGATGTCGTCCGCATAGAACATGGAGTCGAGATTGTGGCTACGTATAACATCTTGGAGAGGTGTCGTATAAAGAGTGAACAGCAGCGGCTCGTGAATAGAGCCCTGGGGAACGCCATACTCTAGACATCGTGGCGAAGATGTTGCATCCGTTATGGAAAATCGCTGAGATCGGCCAAGCAAGTAAGGGGAGAAACATTTAAGAGCTGTTCCTGTGAAATTGAAATATTTTTTTAGCCTCGTGAGAAGAATTTGATGGTGCAGGGTGTCGAATGCTGTGGACAGATCAAGCAGGACAAATACTACTTCACCGTTGCAGTCGAGAGTCTTTAGGATGTCATCATACCTTCTTTTTTAGCGGTCACTTTTATGCTTTACTCAATTTGGTAGCAGTTCCTACAGGTTTTTCCGTAAAAATTTTTCTTAGAATAAGATTGTAATGGGAAAAAAGATCCTTGTGCCGTGTTTGGATGTAATAATGATCGCCTTTTTCTAGTGCAGTATTAGAAATATGGTCTTTCACTGTATATTTCTCGGGAAAAAGGCGATCATTATTACATCCAAACACGGCACAAGGTTCTTTTTTCCCATTACAATCTTATTCTAAGAAAACTTTAAGAAAAAATGTCCCGAAAAGCGCTCGAAAATACAAACGAAATGTGCTTATGCCCCCTGGACATCCTATAATATTCCTTAAATCGAATTAATTCAATATGGCCGCCGTGTCGGTAAAAAGCTCTACTTTATAGGGGTTTGGATCCTATCTATGTTTTTCACGGAAGGAAAATGAGGGCAATGTGTTCTTCTTTGCTATTCATTTCATCCTGGCCGTGCCCTCCTTAAACCATTTATATCTGTTTCTTTAAAGTTTCATGTATTTTCAAATTATGTTTATACTGAGCTGACATATGTATTCAAATCAAAGCGAAATGAGCTTATCCCTAGTAAGGAAAACAAAAAAGAAGTATGATGATGAAGAAATTGCGTCAACTCCAACATTGACTCCGAGTTATAACATTACAAACATCCTTTCTAGCTCATGACAAGCTATTTATGATTTCATTAAATGGCGTCAGATTTAACTTGACCAAGTCCCTGCAAGAATAGCAGCGTCAATGATACTTTCATACAAACTCTTTCTCGGGAGCTGAAACTGACAAAGGCTATTACAGGAGCGTAATAATAAACATCAAGGTCAAATCAACCTGTCTTAGAGGTTTCTACAACAACTACTTTGATGTACTTCACCCCCACCCTTTCGCCACTGTCACTTTTGTACACCTCCAAGGAAAGCCCCTGGCTAAACTTAAGTCGGTTGTTGTACTGTGTGGTTTTGGTATAGCCTCCATCATGAGCAGTGTAGCATGAGCCCCATCGTTCATTTAGATGCAGAGTAAAATCAAACAAACCCGGGTAATGAGAATCACTAGTCTTAAACGATTTATGATCAATATGTTGGATAGATGACAGGGAAACCCCTGGGACACCCTCCACCCCATAACAAGGCGCATTGTCTGCGTAATCTCCTTTGTCGCAGACTTCAAACCCAACAAATCGACTTCCATCAGAAATGCCGTATCTAATATCACTGTCAAATGTGTTTCCGATAGTGACGTCATGAGCAACGGTTATTTGCACAGTTAGCAGAGTCGAATCGTGCAATACACCAGCAGCGACAAGAGGAACTTTAAGTAGAACAACATGCATTACTGAGCCTGCGTTGAAAGTCAGTTGAGCAGCGGATGCGGTATGCTGGCAGTCAATATGAGATGCATTCGTCTCAAGCCATAGAGGAGTCATGTGGAATACCCTGAGGAGTCCCTGCAAGTGAAATCAGAATCTTACAAGTTACAATAATCAGGTCTAATATTGTAACTGACTGAATTAGCGGCCAACTCCCGAAAAGCATGCCCTCAAATAACATTTCCTATGAAAACTATGAAACAAGGGCACTTTTTTTATAAACCCCTTTGATAGAAATAAGTTGTTGAATTAATCAATTAACGGTGAAGGTAGATACATTGAAAGCCAAAGTAAATTTGTACCCCACAGGCAAATTTGTGTTTCTACTACATATGCCTAACTTTGCGCCTGAAACAAAGTCGTAATGAGAACAACATTTGAACACTACTGTTGTATGAAAAATGAAGAAAAATCAGCGCCGCTACCCTATGCCCGACTGAATTAAGATTGTGAAAGGTATGTTTCTTTCAATGATATTGCTCGTCCCATGCCCTCAGGGATGGTTCAAGAGTCTATGGGCCAATATTGGGCCAATACTTCTAACACAACTTTCTTAATTCGGAGCTTGAACATGGCTGACTACAAGGAAGAGCAGAAATAGGAGGAGACCGCTGACCAACATAAGCCGTGTGAAAAGTTTCCGGATGGTTTCCCGCATCGAGGGCTGTTAGAGGTGAAATCGGTGAGACATAAATGCGATTAAATTATTTATGNTTCTTAATTCGGAGCTTGAACATGGCTGACTACAAGGAAGAGCAGAAATAGGAGGAGACCGCTGACCAACATAAGCCGTGTGAAAAGTTTCCGGATGGTTTCCCGCATCGAGGGCTGTTAGAGGTGAAATCGGTGAGACATAAATGCGATTAAATTATTTATGTTCTTAAACCTTTTCTGAATTCGTTACTTTGCTTTTTCGTTATAAGAAAAACTTAATAAGAGCAAGTGTAGACTACGAGTAGTCCCCATATTTCCTCATGGATAGTAGGGCGAGCGAAACGCGAGCGCGCGTGAAAATTACTCCACGCGAGAAAGGTGAGACGCGGAAGGGAAAAACGGTTTTCATTTTCATTCATTTTCCTCTCTCCCCGCCTCGTGTCGCCTTTCTCGCGTGGGGTTATTTTCACGTGCGTTCGCGTTTCGCTCGCTCTACTATCCCTGAGGAAAACTGGGGACTACTCGTAGTCAGGAGCCGTAATCGGCTCCTGTCGTAGTCTAGAGCAAGTGACACACCTACACCAACCCACAGCCTGGCCATTACCTCAGGCATGCTCAAAGCCACATCATTCGGGCAGTGGCAGCCATGGACAGATGCTTTGCCCTTATTAGGGCTCATCAGCATTGCATAATCGTCGGACCTAGCGAACGGACGAAGCCGTGTATTAAAGGCCCTTTCAGTTACTGCCGAGGTGATTTCAAAGCACTCCTTTAAGTTATAGCCTGCCTCAAGCTTACTAACGATTACAAATCAGACTTCAGCCCTTTGTGGGTATTGAAATTACCCTGGGAAAAATCCTCTTTGGGACGAGGTTAGGTTTATTGACCGAATCGTGTATACATGGTATATGCTTTACTTTATACATATTGATGTAAAGTATTTTGATAGTAATTTTCAAGATTTGTATTTTCTTTTAAGTTCCGTTTCTGTTTTATTAAGTGGGTCAAGGTTAGTCTTGATTTTTCCACATAGGTGTTTTTCTGTTTTCATCTTGTGTTTTTACTTGTTGATTCTTTGCCTAACTCGAGAATTTACTTAATTCCATTTTAGGAATATTGTTCGCTTGCCATTGACAGATGTTAGTTTTTCATTGGTGGTCGCCTTGGCCGTAAAAACCGTTACCATACTTGAACTAGTTAGTACAGGATTGAGTAGAGAAGAAAAGTACGAAAAGATTAAGATTAAGTTTGTTAGCAGATGTCAAAAAAGAATAAAGACCAAGGAATAATATCATTTTCCTGGTACCTCATCGCATTGCGAGCGAGTTGCTCGAACACCCCCACAATACCGTAAAATTCCCGAAATAAGCCCCTCCATGTATACGCCCCTCCAATTATAAGCCCCCCCAAACCGGTAACGCAAAAAACCCTCTGTTAAATCGCCCCTCCAAATATAAGCCCACGGGGGGGGCTTGTACTTGGAAAATTGCCCTCAAATACAAAGTAAAACAAAGCAAAAACGGCAAATTTACTTCCAACTATAAGGCTAGCCAAATCGATTATGAAACGCAAATTTCCCTACGTAGATAAGCCCCTCCAAAAATAAGCTCCTCAAAGAGGGCTTTTGAAAAATATAAGCCCCGGAGCTTACTTTCGGAATTTTATGGTATGCAGAATTTATAGAGAGAGATTTTTTAGAAAGCACATTTATCATGAACATTTGAATGGCAAACCTGGAGTACTAAGTATTATTCTTAACTGACGCCAAGATCAAAATTGAAATTGATTGTGATAAGAAGTTTTAAAAATATATATTACCTCTCTACCAAATTGTTCTGGCTGATGTACAGGGATACAGAAAGAGTCATTTGGAATAAGCTGCACCTGCGTGGAGAGGACAAAGATAACGAATCAACAATATTCTGTTAGATAAATGAGTCATGGGAGAGGATTTCGTTTATGATGGTTTTTAGTGACCACAGAATTCCTATTTTCCGCGTTACGCTTGTGAATCTAAGCAACTGAGAGCTAAAGGATAAATGTAAGCGACATTCTGTTTAGTCATGAATCAAAGAAACCGTCGAGGACTAAAGTTTTCCGGTAAATTAGAATATTATTAACATAATTTCCTATTGTTTTTCGTAATTTGACTTAACTCTGACAAACGTCGCGATCAGTAACAGCAAAGAAACCATCGTGAGAAACAAGCCTATTTTAAACAAAGCACGATGCAAAATATTTTTTATTATTCATAGCATAATGTGCTGTAATTCTAGACTAAATATAAATGAATATCATATCTATTCAGTTTGAGTCGGATTAAAAAAAACTCTTTTAATTAAAGAAGACGATAGCTTGCAAATTTGAGGTATTATTATAGTCGTGACTTTCCCACAAATTTTCGGCCACTGTTAAGATTCCGTGAACAATTTGCATTCGCCTCCCCACTTTCTTAAATACACAGGAAATTTTGAATCCTTTAAACGAACAAAGATTCGTAGAGCATTGTTTTTTCAAAGTTACCAATATAAATTGTCGAATTTTAACCCTTTTTTCAGGGCGTTCTTTCAGGGCAATACTACTGAAAGGTGGTCTTTGCGGCCTTGTAGTCTCTACTAAATCTCTCAGCAACCTGGGATTTGTAACTGACCGGGGTTAAAAAAAATTCTTCATTTCGCCATTTAAAACCAATAAAGAAACTTACCTCGCTTTCAGCGGTTGCATGTAGCAGAATTAGGCTGATAAATTTGAGAAAAAATGATGAGCAAAAAAACATCTTTCCAGAGATCATTTAAGACTCCATGGTTGCGGCAGAAAACCTCGGAAAAATAAGAGATCTTTACAGTATTCACTTGATTAATCAAAAATGACTGGCTAGCTCATTCTCATGTAAATCTTCTTCCATGCCCCAGCTTCAAGTGAAACATATCTTCATTGATATCAATGATCAATTACAAAATTCTCTTTGCGTGCAGACAAAGATTGCTATGAATTTTATTTTATGAGAATATCATTAACAGTTTCAATAATTTATCATGACCGTGTTTGATCTCAGTGATTACTGTCCTAGGTGCATAAAGCGTATATGTAAACACAGCTGTCTGTGTTTAAGAGGATAAAAGCTGCTCGATTCACACGCTGCTTTATACATAGTCCAGTTCTAGCGCCCACTGCACCACCCCTACCCGCCTCCTCTCTCTCTCTTTCTCTCACTCTCCCTGTCGGGCAACACGTATGTCTCATATTGCATCTGCCAAGAAAACCTTGTAACGACGGCGAAAAAGTATATTGTATTCTTCCTTTAAAAAACCTTGTTAGAAAGAAAAAAAATTCTAACAGTCATAGAAACCATAAGGCTAGCCAAGTAAGCTTTAGTAATGTTTCATTTATATGGCTGCAATAAACTTTTTGCTATCAATGTTGTTTATTAGAAATGGTCTCTTTTGAAATACAGAGTGCCCAGTCTTTACCGTCAAAATCCTGGACGGAGAGCGCAATATTATTTTCACAACTGAATTTTTCAGTTGATCTCAACCGAACGTTACCAACCAGAATGTATCATTTGTTTACCAGCAAAAGCTCAAGAAAACTTTGAGTGCTTGAGGTCATGCTCCTTCCCTCCCTCCCCCTCCCCCCCCCCCCCCCCCCCCCCCCCCCCCCCCCCCCCTTTCCTTCTCTTCTTATCTTTTTTTTTTTTTTTGTTTTTTGTGTTTTTTTTTTTTATTTTTTTTTTATTTATTTTTTTGTTTTGTTTTGTTGTCGTTCACTCCTCCCCCCCTCTCCTCTTTTTCTATCACTAACTCTTCATATACATCCTCCTCTGGCAGGGGAGCGCAATATTATTTTCACAACTTAATTTTTCAGTTGATCTCAAACGAACCTTACCAACCAAAATGTATCCTTTTTTTACCAGCCAAAGCTCAAGAAAACTTTGGGTGGTTGAGGTCCTTCTCCTTCCCCCCCTCCCCCTCCCCCCCCCCCCCCCTCCTCCTTCTCCAGGATTTTCCTGAACTTTAAAATTGCTATGTTTTGGCATTCTGTCGGAATTTTTTGGAATTATTACAGATATCATCATTTCAGTTTCAGTAGTGGTGACCCCTCCCTACCCCTCCTCATTCCTATGATTACAGACCGAATTAGTCAATTAGACTCCACTCAGTCCTATTCAGACCATAATTTATCGCATGTAATATGTCTGCGTATGTATAGCATAGTGAAAAAGACCAGAAAATGATGCTTGCCCACCCAAAAGAAGTTCCTGTAGAAGTTATTAACCGAAAAAAAAAATTTCTGCAAGCTGAATACTCCCCACCCTCCTCCCCAATCACTTCACAACATCAACAACAGCAACAGCAACAACAAAGCTTTATTTGCGTGACCATGCAAGTACATACAGTATTGCAAAAGATAATTATAATAATTATAACTTAAGAATATGAACTAAAATTTAATCACAGGATAATTAAGCTGCTTTGTTTAAAATTTGTCGCGAAAATCAAAGCAAACTGGAATATATCTCATGAATATTATACGATACAACCCCGATAACTCTAACTCCCCGCTAACTCCAACTAAGTCCAAGTTCATTGGTCAAAATATTTACACTAGGTAACTGGGTAATATTTGGAATCAGAGTCTTAACTTTACTGTTATTATTATTCCCAATCAGAGAGTATTTAGAACAATCAAAAAGAATTTCATCTTCTATTTGATTGGATCCATAAAAAGGGTAATTCCTATTATATCTGGTAGTTTGATTGTATCTACCAAGTTCTTTCATTAGTTTGTTGTTACTTATTGGTAATTTTACTAATTTCCTTCTCTCATTTGTTCCTCTCGTTAAGTCTAGGTAATAAGAAAAAGGTATAATTGCTTTTAAAATATCTAAAGAATTCTAGTTTTTGAGAGTGGTGCAGGGTATTTAGCCAATATTATATGTATTCCTGTTACATTAAACCTGCAAAGTTTTTTACTATTGCTGTATCTAACAAATAAGTGTTAAAGTCAGGTAGGTTAAAATATCCTGACATCTTCATCAAAGGAGATAGTCAAAGCTACTCTTACCGTTGCAGTGTAAATCAAATGACACTAAAAAAAGATTGCTGGACGAAATATTCTTCATCTTTAGTACTGAATATAATGTACAAAACATATTTGAGGATTTTTTATTGATGGTAATATTTAAAGGAAAGCAACCAAGTTTAGTTCTACAAGCTATATTAGAAGCCTTGTTGTTTACTTCTAAGTAACTTTTGCAAAATTGAAGGTGTGTCTTTTCGATTTGGGAGTCGTCCCAGGGTCCCGTTTCTCGAACGTTTCGGGACGGGAAAGCTGTTTTGTGTTCGCCGTCAGTTGCATTCACGATCGAAGTTTCAATAATTTTGAAATAATACAATAAAACTATCAGTTAACAAAGAAAAATTGACTAGTTTGTGAGCTACAGACTGAGCTACTATTCAACAGGTTTTGACTTTAAAATTTTCCTTCGGGTCCGAAAAGTTTCCGGGCGTTTCGAGAAACGGGCCCCAGGTCTTAAAATCTGGTTTGGCATACACTCAAACTTCAACATCGTATTAAAGACTTTACAGGTAGGAGATGGACTTTTAAGTTTGCTAAGATTCGTGTGTCATCACTTAATCACTTATCTGATCATGGTCCGTCCCTTATCCCTTAGCAGGTGATATGTCCGGTTGATAGCACTATTTTGTTTTTGACCAACCGGGGCTGGAAGTAAACTAAAGTCAATCATGATTTTTGGGATTACAGGCGTTTCCCGTGCTTTTCAACGACTACATAGATAGATTGCTTATTTAAAATTATAATCGGAGCGCGAGGGCTAAAGTACGATAACCTTTTTAAAAAAAAATCGTAATAAGGGTTAAAATTATTAACGTTTACACATAATCACCGTAACTACTTTTACAATGTACCTTACTGGTACTGTAGATTGCGATTTTGGGGTCCCTTACCCCCAGAAACCCCAAGAGAGCTTGCTCGCCGGCTAAATAGGTCGAACAGACCTAAGAATATTGTGGCACTGGTTAATAACAACGCGGGAAAACTGTCCTCTGAAAATAACTTTTTGGGCATAAAAAAGTTCTTTGAAAGTTTGTTCCAAGGGTCACCGACGCGTGAAGGGGCATTTAGAAAGTATAAGAGAATTCTAATACTATCATAAAGGAGATACCTCAGCGACGAGCCAGCGAGGAGTGCTGAATCTTGTTTACACCTGGCACAATTAATAAAAATAGTAAATTAACTCAATCAATTCAAAATTCACCTTCTGTACGAGAAAATTTAGATTTTTATGGGAAAGGAAGACATTTTCGTCCGTATAAGAGCTTTATAACGTTTCACTTGGGCTGATCATTCTTTTTCCCTCTACATCCATTTTACAAACAATCGAGATGCGAACTACTGTTAAAAAGCATTTTTTTTAAAGCGTTTGCCTCCGTAAAAGGAAAGCGCTAAGAGTCTTAGAATCAGAAGCAGTACTTCTTTTAAAAAAAAAGTGCGTAAGCTCAAACTGGTTCAATTCTCTCGCAGTGTTTACAAACGTGTAGTCACAAACCCATTCATGATTTGAACGGAATAATCTGCCTGAGTTTTCGGCCTGCATCGAGACAGCAGTTCGTACACGGATACCTTGAAATGAGGCAGGCGGAGCCAGTAAATGATGGGATTTCCCAGAGAATTAAAGAAGTGCAGCAGTTTGACAGGGTTAACTATCCCTGCATCATCGTTGATCTCAACGTAGAGGTTGATGGCGCTCATTATCATAAATGGAAGCCAGGCGGTGAACGAAACAACAGTTACAATAAAGGCGGTGACAGTGAAACGCTGGCTGCGACGGCGAGAACGCTCCGAGGAGTTAGACAAGTTTTTGGAGATCTGTCTTATTCTACACAATAAAATAAGGTAGGACAAGGTGACAACAAGCAGGAGAGATAACAAAAACGGCAACCACGCAAAAAAGGCAATCATAGGTGAATGGAAAACGCGGAAGCCCACTTGCACTAAGGACGATATTAAGATGGCGCATACCCAAGGGAATGCTATAAGGTAACTGGTAATTTTGCGTTTGTTGTGCATGTACTTCATCGGTGAAAGCGTGGCTAGAAGACGCTCTACAGCGATACAGCCGTGATTGGTCACTGAGGCAAAGGCCGTTAGTATGTCTATGGTACTGTAGCCAATAGACACTACGGGAGAATAGACCCATTCTTGCGAGTCTCCGATGTAGTATACCCAGCCTGGAATAACTATTGTAGCAACTAGCAAATCCGCAAATGCTAGGTTTGTGAGCAAAGGAGAGCTTTGCTTTTGTAAAGGCGTCTTCTTATTGAGGAAGGCAGCTATGGTCACCAGGTTTACGATTATCCCAAACAGGGCTTCGATGCTAAAAACCAAACACCAAGTGATGGTCTCCACAAACGCAGAATTGCTGTCCGTAACGTTTGATGGCATTTTCCACTACAAATAAACAAATTAGAGGGTAAATTTTAAGTTTCTTTACTCAGTCTAATAAAATCTGACAATAGAAACATAGTATGCAAACAGTTATGACTCGTTTCCGCCACGCTTCAGGCTCAAAGACGCCTCAAAATTTACCAAAACTTTGGAGTTGATTTTTTCAACATTTTAAAATAAGTAACGATTACTTTACTGCAGATCACAATAGCTCACAATGATGATAGATGATTCCACCCTTTAAAAACTAAGTTAATCCTCATTGAATCGACATATAACTCGAATAATAAACTAAAATAAATTGTATTTGGCTAATTTCTATTCTACTAAGCGGACACCAGACTGAATTGACAATAGTAGTATTGGATTACGTCCTTGAAATATCTAGTACTCAGTAGTCGATTAATAAACACAAGTCAATACATTTAGCTCTCAATAAACTGTAGATTAGACAGAAAGTCTTGCAAAAAGTACAGCACAGCTTCCTTAGCTTCTTTAACAACATGGAACTTTATCACAGTACAGAGTAACTGTTAAAAGTTAATCGTTATAACATTGCGCAACTTTTACAAACCTCTATTAAGCAGACACTTGGGAAGGTCCCGAATGTGTCCGCTTAATAGAGGTTTCACTGTAGTTAGGAGGAAACCGTCGTTCATTTGGTTGCCCCTGAGGAGCTCCAAGAATAATTAAACCTTTTGTCCTGCTTTGCACCCTTGTAACCTTATACAATTCACTTGTACAACCCTACTTGATTACTGTTCACCCTTATGGGATACGTGTGCTTCATATGACATTTCATCCGTAGATGAGCTTGATAATTTGAAATGGAGAAACCTCGAAACCAGGCGCTCACATATAAAGGCTACCCTAATGAATAAAATAATTAATGATCAATATTCCCCCATTTGAGAGCAAGACTGAACGATACTAACATCGACTGTAATCTCAGGAATCTTGAAACTGATCTAGCATTGACTTCCAAGGCCAAAGATTATATTTCCTCAAACGTAGTTTTAAGTATAATGGTACCTTGCTCTGGAATAATCTTTCTTATGAGGCAAAAACAGCACAATGGCTTTCCCAATTTAAATGCAAACTTGCCTTCTGCTGGATCGCTCTGATTCATTAATTTTCTTTAATTTGAATGCGTGTAAATTTCAATTACTGTTCAAATTTCCCACCAACATAATTATATTGTAAAACTGGCTATATTGTATACATTTTACGTAATTAATTATTCTCTGAATATTTTTAACTGTTGTGAACACTATCATACATCTATTCGTTTGTAATGCGTGTTTGCCTACGCCCCACCTGGAAATCAACTTCTGTTGTGTTTGCAATTGGTTAGCGTAGAGAAATTAATGCGTTGATTGAATGATTGATGATAAGTTACTGGTGACTGTTACACCAAGATGTTTCGATCTTTGGACAACTTCTAATCTTGCCCATTTATAAGATGGGCTGAAACTCCGGCTGGTTTCTGGTAAATGAGATTCTTAGTTCCTTGCCGACTTGCTTTTACTCTGTTGTCAGAGGACCGCTGCGCTAAGATCTGCTAGCTGCTGTGCTTTACTATCCTACCTTTAAGAAAAACTTCTGAAGTTGTCGTCTCATCTACACACTTCTGTAGCTGGGCATTGAAGGTATCGCTTAGATTTAAATCATAGGACAAGGAAAAGCCACGGCCCCAGCTTTGCCCACAAGGGCACGCGTGAAGGGACTGATCCCCACTCATCAGTCAAAACATCAACGATCCAATTAATAACCTTTGAGTTGGTAAATCTAACGTACAAAGCTTATTTAGGATAATTTTATGGTCGATAAAGTCGAATGCTTTGCTGATTTACTTACCACAAACTGTTTCTTCAGTCCTAACTTTTCAGAAGAATGAAAGCAACTGATACAGCAATCCCAAACTGTAACCGGCGCTTTCTATTTCTTTTACTTTCGAAAATAGCAAGAGAAAGTTTGGGATCTCGCTCCTGCCCTCTCTGGAGTTGGTCTAGAAAATGTGGAAAAAA